ATACGCGTTAACTAATTAATTTAGTTAATTAATTGTTCGTCAGGCTCCGCGTATCCATGTGGACGGGCCTTGATCAGTGCCGGCAACGTTTCGTCGCCCGATGAACCGCGATACGGCGCGGCGTGCCGAACCTAACCTCAACTGACCTTAACCTCCTCGTGGAATTGCAAATAAAAAAACAATATGGCGATCGCGGTATGATTTCTGTAGATTCGGAACGAGGACGATTTTTTTTTTCGAGGTTATCTCAAGCGCAACGCCTGTCACGCACATCGTCCGCAATAGGAAATTTACACCTCGAAGTAACGCACGATGGGAGCCGAACGTTTAATTTATGCCTGTTCCCTGATTTTGACGTTCTATCTCTCGGCCGTCGTCTGCGAGATCGAGCCGCGTTACGATGAGAAAATTCAATTGTCCGCGACGTCGACGGTAAGTTCCCGCCGAGAGAAATCTCGTGACTGCTTGTGATCCGTAAAAAAAAAGAGCCTTATTTTTATGACAACAATTCCAATTTTGTCGGAAGAGATTCGAAGATCAACGTTTAAATCCTCAAATCCAAAAGATATTTGGTCCTAAGGCTTCTAACTTGAATCTTTAAATTTTGAAGAAATTAAAAAAAATATGGAAATAATTTTAGAGCTTCTCAAGCTAAACCTGAATGCTCTAAAAATCCTAAAACGTTGTCCGAACCCTATAAATTTTATATTATACAGTTACAAGCTTTAGAAATAATGTTCTAAGTAAACTTTAAGCTTCTTTTAACTCATAAAATGTTTTCAGAAATTGCCGGAGTTTGTGTCTGAAAAGCCACAGGACAGGGTAGGCTTTCTCCATGCCTTCATAGCATCCTTGTCGGTGATCGTGGTATCGGAGTTAGGAGACAAAACGTTCTTCATCGCCGCTATTATGGCGATGAAGCATCCGAGATTGACTGTATTCGTCGGAGCGATAAGCGCTCTCGCGCTGATGACTATTCTGTCAGGTATCATCGCGATAGAATAATATCCAGTAATTTCACGGACGGTATTATTGGATCGTTGCATGTATCTCGATTCCTTGAAGGTCTTTTGAGTGTCATAGATGTAAGACTAACGTTTCAGATACAGCATTCCTTATACTAATGATTTGTAACTTACTCCTATGTCTAAATGAAATTGTCACAAGCGACAATTGTAATGTTAAGTGTCTTTTATACTTCCAGTGGTGTTTGGATACGCCGCCACGATAATTCCTCGTGCGTATACCTACTACATTTCCACTCTTCTCTTCGCTCTGTTCGGATTAAAAATGTTACGAGACGGGTACTACATGTCGCCGACGGAAGCACAAGAGGAGCTAGAGGAAGTACAGACTGACCTGAGAAAAAGAGAGGACGAGGTAAGCTTGCGAATTTTTTCAATTGTATTATAATATGTTTCTAAATCTATCAGATGCAACACGCTATTTTACGAGTATACAGAGAAAAGAATTATTAACTACGTGAAAAGATTGGACAGAATATTATAAATTTTATAGAAATATTGATATTGTATATAGTGTTGCCTTATAAACGGTTCTTTTATTTCTTAAATTGAAAAAGATAAACTGTGGTCAGTAATGCTTAAATTTAATTTGAACTGAACTCTATTTTGAGCATAGTGGTAAGAACCATCTGTGTTGAAGAATATAGAAGCATTATATTTTCATCACAAAAATGTGACTGTTGTTGAAATATAAAATGCAGCATGTTTCGAGATTATTAATACGAGATTTTGACTTAGCAAAAATTTCATTTTAAATCACCTTATTGCACCTTCTGTTTAAATATAGCGACCTTCTCTATTCAATTATAATAAAAAAGAATTGCAGAGATACTCTGCTGAAAGAATTAATTTCCGTAGTGTAATAAAAGAGAGTTGTTTGTCTAAATAATGCTTTCTAACGTTTTTGCAGGAAGTTAAATAATCTTTTAAATGTCATCGCTTTCAGTATGAAAAGGAAACGACGAGTACCTTGGTTCAGGATCCCGAAACCGGAGTAATACGTAAGACCACTAAAAGTAGCGCGCTCATGCTGCTTTCTAGGATATTCCTTCAAGCCTTCACCCTTACCTTTCTTGCGGAATGGGGCGATCGTTCTCAGTTAACGACCATTATCCTCGCGGCGAGAGAGGTACCTTAATGCAACGGTTTTACTGCAACAGTTAACATCGTCACATCTTGTGTGTAACAGCACTCAGACATAATCATGCTATTTTCAGGATGTTTACGGAGTTGTACTAGGTGGAGTATTGGGCCATTCGTTTTGTACGGGTCTAGCTGTTTTAGGAGGGCGTATAATAGCACAAAGAATATCAGTGAGAACAGGTAATTCGAATTATTTTACTGCGTACACGCAATACAGGGTATAAATGAATCACGATGTTAAGAGCTTGCAGGGAACTAATGAGTCTAAAGCCCCTTGCACAATAGGCGATAGCGATAGCGATAGCGACAAAGTTGCCGACAAAGCTTTGTCGGCAACTTTTTCGCTGTCGCTATCGCTATCGCTATCGCCTATTGCGCAAGGGGCTTAATACTCTTGATATTTTCAGTGACCATTATTGGAGGTTTGGTGTTCCTATTATTTGCTGTAACGGCGCTCTTCGTCAACCCCGTAGAAAACGTTTGAGGATCTCTTCAGAAATTTTCAGTATTTGTATTGCTTCGTGAACGTTGTATATGGTGTATGTTGCGAGAGTATTGTATGTTTGTACAGTATGATCTGTCCTACAGAATTTTTACAAAATCACTAAGTTAATCAGACATTGGCCAGTTTCTCGGCGAGCAAGAGAGCACTATCTTCTTAATATACATAAATTATATATAGGTGCTCGAGTACTGACGAGGAACCAAATTATTTCGCTAGCAATTAAATGATAGCGCGGACTTACAAACTCCGTATCTCTCATTTTTTTAATCGATCGTAAAAATGATCGAAATGTCGCATACTTGCCGTGAAGTTTCTCTGAATTAAAAAATTCACTATTACTAAATTGGTATATTCTACAAAACATTTTTTGCACTAATAATGTACTTCGTGATCTTTTAAACTATTTTGTAGTTAATATAATAATATCGACTCGGCATTCAAAACATAAAAATCCTTGTAATGCGATAACAATTTGCCGTATTTGTGTACCTAACGTCTGCTTGTGTGCAGACATTGTAATACCATTACCCAACTGTACTTCATATAAATAAGCTTTATTGTCTGTATAATATTTGTATATGCCATTTGTAAGATAAAAGAGAATAATGTAATATATAATAATAATAGAACAATGTATCGGCGTAGTGCCGTACGGACGAGATTTTAACGAAACGAATACGACATAGGAATGTTTGTTCGTTTTTTAAATAGAACAAAGTTTCTCCAGTACAATAGAAACTGTAAATAGAATTTTCCCACCATATAACGCGAAAATTTTTAAAAATTAATGAGTTCAAATTCATTTAGAGAAATCTATTTTAATTGTGATATATTGTATAAAAAAAACTTATGTGCTGAAATAAAGTAAATATTGTAAAATAGATAAGCAAATACAAAATCGTTACGTGAAAATCGTGTTATATGAATTTCCAATGTGTGTTATGTTTTCACAAATTTACCTTGACTCGAAAGATTGCGAACACTTCGTAGAAATTGAAACACATTTTTTATGCAAATATTGTGCCGCTTTAACATGATATGTAAAACTTGATTACCAGAAATTTATCGTAAAGCTGAAACTCTTGGAGTTTGATGCCGTCGAATATTATGAACGTATCGTAAGGGAAAAGCGAAGTTCGTGGAAGTTCGTGTTCTCTCGTTTTGTCGCACATATCAGCTTTGTCGAATATCATTTTTATTAGTGCATGTATATACATGTTCTATTTACACTACAGAATATAAGTCTTCGGAAAAAGCGGTATTATTCTCAGATATAGCAACTTCGAGTAAGATTTTCAGATAGTAAAGTAGATTCAATTTTTCTCCTTTCTTATATATTATTAGCTACGTTCCCTTCGTTATCTCTTCTTTGCACCGATAATAGAAAGGTGAATACGCTTTTCACATCGTCAAGCCATAAAAAACTCTTAACTTAAAAATTTCATTAGTCACGAGAGTATCTATTGATATTTATTCGCAAACAAGCGGAAAAATAATTGCAATGCCACTAGTAATCATAATTTATAGTTACATCGTGTATATGCATTTGACTTGTGATATAGTAATCAATATCACATTTAATATATAGTAAAAAATGTATTTAATTGCGCGACTGATTAATTTCGGCAAATTCTCTGTAAACACTGAAACTAATTTATTTGTGAGATTTAATCATTATATTCGCAATTGGTACCAGTCAAATTGCGTGAGACAATTTTTCGAAGTGATTATCAATATTAAAAACTTATCAACATTAGAATCCGTATTCAAGATATTTCAAATAGATAAACTCTGACACTCTAATACTGGGTATTCGAGATATTTCAAATAGATAAACTCGGAAACTCTAATCTTGGTTTTTTTTTTAGTTATAAGCTTTTTACGGCTTAACATCGCTTTTTCTTATTACATCGAGTAATAAACATCGAAGTATCGATGCCGATTGTTAACTACTATCTTTTGATCCTATCCATAAATACTGACTGGGGTATGACAGTTTTTGCGTCTTAATAAATAGAACAGATCGCTGTTGCCTTCGCAAAACTTCCTGTTTTTGTCTTCCATATAAAAAGGCTTGTGTGAAAGAAAGAAATATCTAAAAGAAAAATAAATATTCTGACATTTAAACCTCGATAAGCACCAAATCTCTTTCAGTTTTCGGCACTGTATCTACACAATGTTTGAAGAAACATTTTAAAATCCAAAGATTTATAAGAGGACGAGACCTTTATGAAGAAACGTCTGTCCTTTTTATATTTCGCATTAATTATACTGGAATGTTTTTTTATGCAGTGATATGAACCAAAAAGTCATATTGCTTTCTGTCTAAAGTTAATAATACATTGCATATTGCACTAGATTATATCGGTCCATCTATTATTTGAATCTTTCTTTTTTTTTCTTTTCAAGTGCAACTTTTTCAGATGATGCAAATGTCCAGGTAATATGCAACAACATATCATTGTACAGTTCTCTTTTCTTTTGCAAGAATAGGAAATTCTGCGAAAATAACGACAATCTGATAATTATGAATCTAATGAAGTTTAAATGAAACAAATTTATTTAGAAAACAGTATAAAAAAAAAATACTAAATACTAAGTTAAACAACGTAAAATCAAATTATGCTACGGCGAGAGTGACGCTCAAATCGTGCAAGTTTCGTATACTTATACATACATGTACCATTATATGATCAACCTTATATAATTAGTAACATTATTATTAACTATACATAACTGCTGTGGAAGAAACCAAATATCATTAGCATGCACACATCGTCGTTACATTGCGGAAAACGTAACATTATTACGGTTAAAACGCAGAATCATTACGATGTAACACGTATCCGATGGCGCAGCTATATTATTCCCTACGATTCACGTTCGCTCAAGTCTTCTGCTAACATGTATGCAAATCATTTAAATTAATTCACCGAAAGCAAGTAATCGGAACTGTGTAATCTCGCCGAAAACCGGAGATTCGTATGCAAAGCGACTGGTGAGTGGTTCACCTGAATGAAAATTCAGTGGTGGAGAACGCCATGGGATTGAACATTTCGAGAGACGCGAATAAATAAGTCGGACAAATATGCTCATTTTACATGTATATATGTATCGTGTCCCGCTTATCTAATTAACATACTTATGCTTGATCATTCACGGTAGATTCGAGGAGGTCACTCTACATTGTGCTTCCAGGGCTCGGAGCTTCTCGAGCCTGTACATTGGATCCATCATGTCCTTCTCGTCAGCAACCACGGCCGAAGACTCGGTAGTTTCTGCATTATTTATTTTGCATATAATTGAATAATTAGAGACAATATTATTTTGTATGATTACATTACGCGCGAAATCGCCGGATTTCGAAAGTTCAAACGAAGTTTATGGATTTTCATCTTTATTTTTTTACATGCATTAAACTGAGAGCATATCGTTTTGGTAATATATAAATTGTTTTATATTCCGCAATATGCTTGCGGAAGGGCTAATTAATGGACTTAACTAGCGCTGCTTACCCATAGAATATTGATTATGCGACAAAATAGTCTGGTTTTTTCGCGCCTGATCGATCTCCCTCAGTCCCTGTTCTATGAAGTCTTGGAAGAATTGATGGGATTTGACCAGAAACGGTTGTACGTCGGCCTCCGGATATTGAACTTTGAAATCGTATAACTGCACTAGGCCCTATGAAAAACGAATAAAAGTATGCTTCAAACTGTAAAAACGTCAAGAATTGTCAAATGTTAAGAGCTTAAGAAATGCGTATCAGCAATACGTTTTAAAGTGCAAAATAAGTAAAAAAGATGCACTAATAATTTTTGCAAATATTTAATAATTTCCAGAATCCGAATATTTTAATTTACGTTATATTAAAAAAAAAAAAACACTTATTTATATGTATGTATACATACCTCTTGCATGTGCTCTTTTGATCCAATTTTCTTGAATATTTCTGCCAATTGCTGACGAGTTGACTTGGAAAAGTGTTTTGGTGTCCTTCCTACATTATTTGATTTTGGCGTCACCTTTGCTGTGGCATTAATCTCATCTGGCTTAAGACTCTATTGAGATAAATGTCATTAATTAATTCCTGATTTATATAATTTGACATATCTACATGTAGTAATATTAATATCTAAAATAAACGATGCAATTATTTCAATATTTAAAAAAGTTATGTATATAATTATACGAAACTAACCGCGATTAATCTGATTAAGTAAGCCTGTAATTCAGATTCATTCGTATTGTTTATTAGCGTCAAGTGATTAAGTATCGAACTGCCTTTGACTCTAGTCATACTGTGAAGAACTGTCTTGATTGTTCGCAGCGGAGTATCGGACTTTCGTTTCTTCCACCATGTAGTAGGATAATCCTAGAAAAATAAAATATATAAAACATATAATACATATAAATGTCATCGCACTGAAATATTAATTTAAGACATAGAACAGCGCAATTACAACGTTTACTGACCTATTAATAACTCATGTTAATTGCAAAATGTGCACAATAGTAATCTTTCTTATGCATTCTCATTTACTTGAATAAGATGAAAAATTGCATTACCTTAAGGAAACGATGCACTTCCAAGAGTATTGTATCGTAATCTAAATCAGCGGCCCAATTTGACATTGTTTTCACTATTTTCCATAAGCATTTCATCACCAACTCTTCGTATTTCAAGGGAACATTTGCCTCAGCGCAGGAATGAAGCAGCTTGATCAATACACTGGAAACAAACGTAAATAAAATACAAATAAAAAATTCAAATAAACAATATCACGTTATTGTTTCTCTTCTAAAGCGTACCATATAATGGTGGTATGATTAGAATTGTCAATAATTTTCACCATGATGTTATTGATCACTCTGTAATACGCTGCAACCTGATGCAAATGCTCCAACTTGTTTTCGGCCAACAAACTTATCATCTGATCTACTAATTCCTTCAAATGTACAAAAGGAACATTCTTCCCGAGAAATCCACTGTCATAAAACTGGAAAAAAAATTGAAATTTTTTATGCAAGTCTAATTTAAACCTTGTATTAAAATTTCTTATCACATGCTTTGTCAAAAATTAAATTTCAGTTCTTGTTTCTTTTTATGTATATTAAATCGTTTATTTAAATATGTAATCTATGAATTAATGACATGTTTCTCTCTAAATTGCACTCACCGCAAGTATAACCAGAAATGTGTTTCTGAAGCCTCTGGACACATCCGCGTTTTCTTGACGTAACGGATACGTTTGCAATAGCTTTAATTGCATATTTACCGATCCGATAAATTTATCCTCCTTGGATTGCAAGGTAATCGCTTGATGAGATTTTAATAACTGTAATATAAAAAAATACTAATAGATATTTATACATGTATTACGTAGGAATACAGAAAAACTTTGCGATTTTTAAAAAGCTTATTTTTTTTTATGTAACATTGATTTCTTCCATAGACCAGGAAAATGAAATAAATGCCTAGAAAGTGCTAATTTTAATTGCATTCCCGTGCCAAAGATATGATTTTGAGAAAATAATTACGATGTTCAAAAGCTATACGGAATATTTTTCGAAAATTTTAAATACTTTTAACACATTCGAACGTCAAGAGAAAAATACAAACGTTTTCTATTGCATTCATGGACTGTATCGCAGTGGGTAAATCCATACTGGCCATGGACAAGATGTTACGCTCAAGTGTGTCATCTTTACTGCTAGCAGTAGATACAGGTGATACAACGGACAATGATTTCGATACTAATAATTTCGGTGGCGAAATCGGTATCATTCTAAAAAGTTTAACGGAAAATTATTAATTTGTATAATAAATCGCCTTAATAATAAACAATATTAAAGGTCAAATAAAATAGTAAATTATTTAAATATAATTAATAATCTATGATTTCACCATTAGGCTCAACTTACTGTGTTTTGGGCGGGTTCAACACATTAGCTGGAGATTCGTTCAAATCTGACAAGTTGGGTTCCACTAATATCGGATTGCGATATTTCACTGGAGCACTCAGTTCGAGCCTCTGCAGAAAATCCATGTCTAGTCCGAAGGGACCTGAAGGAACCTTTGCTTGCAACGATGTAGGAGAATTCCTAAAAGACAAAGACACAAACGCATTGCATATAGATATGTCGACGAAATCTTTGAAATTCAAAAGAATCACACATCACAAATTACATCAAATACACTACTACTTGGATACAATGTTGCTTAAAGATATCAAATAATTTAATTCATATATTGCATCAATATAAACAGTAAAAAATATGTTTTCTAATTTGCATTGAATAAAGTAACGTGAAGCAGGAAAAAGTAGAAAATCTTCATTTATCAATTTATATTATCTAATATAATATACGTATCACTTTGATAGATTGGAAAAAACAAGTTGGAAAAACAATATGTGTTGTAAATAGATCATCATGCTGTAGAGTATTATTTGTTATTTTATAGCCATTTAAATCCCTGGAACCCTTTTGCATTTCCTGTTTCCGAAACGAACAGATGGAACCGTTCAAGATGTAGAAAAAAAAAAAATAGAAAAAAAGTGAGAAATTAAAATACAGAAACTGAAACTGAAATTAACAGATATATAAGTGACAGTATTCGACAATAGACGAATTATTGTTAGCAGGATGCGCGATAAAATTCCGTGGCATTTCCCAGCACCAAGTTGTTAGAGCCCGCCGAAAAGACAGTCATGTAAATGATTAAAATGATTAAAAGCAACAAACGTTTTTAAACCATCTCGATCGGAAAGATGATTTTGCGTATTGGTTTCGCTGACAATTTCCTGGTCCGATTTTGAAGGAGATTCGGTTTTAACCACAGAAGACACTTGCTCGTCCTCATTATTGTCAGTAGTGCTCGTGGCACATGCCCTGTGAATATGTTAAAAGCGAAGCACGTGCGAACATGAGTGACTTGGGAGATAATATTCCACGAGAAAATATTGAAGAAAAAAATAAAAAAATATGATTAAAAAGAACGATTCCTTTTTTTTTAACAATCAGCACGATAGCAGCTGCAATTTTGTAGCATCATGTATAAAAATGACTCACAGCTCTGGTACTGTCTCCATTGGCTCGGCAATCTCTTCCTGGTCGTCTTCGTAATCCGCCTCCATGTCATCCGTCGGCGGGCTAGAAGTTGCGACCGCAGGCGTGGAGAGTCTGGTAGCGGATGCGGATTTTGTGGGCCGATTCTTCGCTGCTCTCTTGATTCGTTCGTCTAACAGGGACCTATCTTTCTCCGATATCTATACGCAGAATAATTAATTGATGTTACCTCTTCTTAAGTTGTAGCTTAAATCAACTACATTCACCTGCATACCTGTCCGATAAGCTTGAATACACGTTCCCCTTGAAGGAAGTAGGCCTGAACGATGCAGTTTAGCGCGGCGTTACGAACGGAATTGTCGCGATCTGCGATCTGCTTCGCAACTTCCTTCAACGCCACGGACGGGTTGGGTTGACAAACAGAAACTCCGTAATTTTCAATTAGCGATCCTAATTGCTCCAGGCATTCTGCAAGCGCCGACACGTTTGCTTAATTCAAGTAACACTTTCGTAATATTTTGCATGGAAATCGAGAATCGAATCGTCTACCTGTTCGTTGTCGAGCATTCTTCGACTTCAAACCCTCCATTACGTACGAGAATAATTTGCTCACGGGATATACCAAAGCCATTTGCTTGAATAAAGCTCGTACGCCATTACGCACAGCGTCCTTCGGGTCACCTATCTATTAATCAATATAGCAGATATAATAACATTATCTGTAGAAAAAATGAATAAAGATAAGAAATAATACGAGATTAACGTACCTTGATAATGAGATAAGGTATAAACGACGCTGCTTCAGTTTCTAGCATGTGATACTGGTCTTCAATTAACATATTAAAGACCAATTGTAAGTAATCCAATCCTTTCAGAAGCACCGACGGATTAGTATCGAAAAATCGCAATGTCAACCATTTGAGAATGAGATCGAGATTAGACACCAATGCTTTGTTATTTCCATGAAGATCCTGATAAAAAAAATGTAAACAAGATTAAGAATCGACATTATTAAACATATACATGTATTTTGCAAATGTTATTTTGCAATATAATATAAACATCTTTCAATTTTCAATTGACGCTTTTTAGAAGCCACAAATTTATGTAATTTGACATAAATGGCTTACTTTTACATAATACAATCAAATTGATATTAGTAAAGTTTGTCATAGAGAAAGAATATTAAACATTCTCTATATAAAATTTATCGTGAGATATTGAACAGAATACTGATTTTCTCATACTTTGATACATTTTTTAATTCATATGTACACTTACCTCAGTAAGTGCTTCGATAGCTTTGAGATGATATCGAAAATCAGAATGAAACATGTTTGCTCTCAAAGTTTTATTGACGTTTGCAGCAGTCATGAGATCTTTCAGAAGCTCGACAAACTCTTCTCTAGGCGTGGTGAAGTTCCATTTGAGTACCTTCAACTTTTGCTCATCGATCACACGCTGATGCTTGAGGTTGTTGACCACCAATAAAGGACTGGTGTCGACATCATCATCTTTCTTACGAGCGCTGCCCGGTTTTGATGACGCGCCCTTCTGAAACAACGTACGGTTAACGATATGTCGTAAAAAAGAAAAAAAAACCGTCTTTATAAAAATACTTTAACAAAATCAAATTTTTTAAAAATTAGAGAGAGAGCTAACATTAATTCGCACAGGTTTGATTCGTTAGAATGTTTAGTATTATTACCGACTTAACCCCTTTTACTACTTTCGCGCCCTTCGCTCCCTTCTGGATATTGTCGTCTGACAGTTCTTTCTTAGGTAGAGGCTTTATAGGTAAACTAGGACGAGCTTTGTCCAGTGCGGCAATCACTACTGTCCTCGATCCTGGCTGCAAAAATCACAATTTTCTTTACTATCGTCATAAGTGATAGTAATCGTTATGTTGAACTGACAAATTTATTAAATTTTAATGTTATTACGAGTTATTGAAAGATCTACATATTTAGGAAACATTACGCAATTCGTATAAATACCTTCAGTTTTTCGGTTTGTCTGAGCATCGCTTCGTAAGAGAGATGAATCATGTAGCCGAGAACAGCTTCCTGAGCATTCTTTCGTACGTCCGAGTTACGATCCTCTAGATTAGCATACAAACAGGGAAGGCACACGAAAAGCTCCTCTTTGGAAATCTGTTTCACCGGAATCGAGGGCAATTTCTGCGCCAACCAGTTCCATAGTTCGGATCGCAATGTCGGTGAGCCCGTCTTCAATGCATCGCCTATCATCTCGCCATCGAAGAATTCCTTATAGCCGCACTGATCTCCCCATGTATTGATACAGGAAATCGCGGCCGCTCTGATCCAATTTTTGCTGTCACCCAGACATGATAGAAATCCGGGAAACAGAACGCGAACGTGTTGCTTAACTGGTGATCCAATAGCCGTCGCCAACGTCTCGCATATACCTAAAATACAATTTACATTATTAGTTAATAAAGAATTTTTTAATTATTGATTAAGAATAATCGTGCAAAGTTAACATTAATTACTGACCTAGGGCTGCTTGTGCAATCTTGCTGTTACTGTCCACTAGACGCAGGGCCAACCCCTGCGGCAAATCGCCGATGGTCGACTTGATGAATTTCGCTTCGCTGAGCATAGTGTTCACCTTCTGCAACGCTTCGTTACGCACTTTCCAGTTTTTATCGGCAAGTTCGGTCAGCAGCGCTTCGGTGATCTGGGCGCTGATGTCAACGTGCGGGATCAGTTCGTTGAGATCCTGTTCGCTGCCCGCTTTCTTCTCCGCTGAGTCATCCATGTCCTCCTCTTCATCCTCGGCGCTGATGGCGTTGGTCTTCTTGGACTTGGCGCCGCGAATAGGGGCCGGTGGAATTTCACCGTTGCGCTTTTCACACTCTTGCTCAATCTGTTGCCGCAACGCAAGCTTCTCGTTATCGAAAAACGCCAGCAGCGGTTTGCCCATGTAAAGATACAATGTGCCTAGCAAGGTTATTGCGGCAGTGCGCACGTTAGGATTCGGCACCGCCACTGCTTTTTTGATATTCTCCATAGACTTGATGTTGAGACCACAGCCTGAAAGATAATTGGATAAATTAATAAATTTTGATATTTTGCACACATATATATCTGTTTGTAAAGTGAATCACAAAATTGCAACATTACGAACCAAACTCCGAGAGTCCCCGGATCAGCCACAACAGTGTCTCCTGCTGTACTTTAGGGTTCTTCTGATTGAACGCGAATTCCACTACCTCGTACGCTACATACTCGAAGCTCACAGCCTCGGCAATCGCCAGCAAAGTGTCGGCGGCGATCGAACTGTTCTTCGCGTCCGCCAGCTTTTCCGCGATGTCCTGAAGGCAGTGCTCAGCCACGGTGGCTGTGAAGGGATGATTTTCCGCCAGGTACTTCACAATCTCTACGCGTAGTTTCAACACCTGAAAGTAGAAATTAAATTAAGTGTTTTACTATAAAAGCACTTTTCAATTTTTTTTACAATTGAAATAACTGAAAATCAACTCTAAATTATAAATCAAATTTATTATCAATATCAAATAAATTATATATTGATCTTAATTACATCTTTCATATCAATCTTAATCCCATTCTTACCTGGAAATTTGTGTCCTTGAAGCCAGGCTTTTTCGCCAAAGTCCGTACAATCACCTGGGCCGACACCTCCGCCGAATCCATCGTCTTGACGGTATCTGACAATTGCGTGACCGCGGCCAGACGTGTTTTCCAATTACCGTCCACGAGACCGGTGATTATCTCGGCTGGCAAAAACTGCGCCGCCATCTCCTCAATCTCCTCTGGACTATAAGTCCTCTCCATCTGAGCTGCTTTCTTTGACGTCGCCAGATTCGTGAGCGACGAGGAACCGCCAGCTTTCTTAGTCGCTGCCTTCTTTCCGGCTGCGGTGTTGGGTCTTCTCGCGGCACTCGATTTGCCACTCTTCGAATTCTCCTTACTCGCCTTGTTCGCTCGCTGTGATTCCACTTTAGCCGGAGCAGTGTTGGGTCGTTCCTGCTTCTTCGTACCACTCGTCACCTTGACGACTATCACTGCCTTATCCGCGCATTCTTTGATCTTCGTCATCT